ATCCATGGCGCCAGGATTGAGGAGATCCTCCAGCCTCCATTTATCTTCTGGTGGTTCTTGTTCAAAAAGAGTACAGTTACATGCTTCAAAGAGGTCTGAGGAATACAATTTAAAAGCCACAGAGGGGAAATTATGTATAAATCATTAATTCCTTCATTCAATTATTCATCAAGTTTGCTTATCAGCCCCCTGTTGCTACAGGATGATCAGCTTTGTGTCTTTTTTTGTTCAGGAACATTTTCTCAAAAACAGCTCCTCAAGACAGCAAGGTACATTTTGTGTAAATAAACAATGAGTACTGGGTCAACCTTGATGGGAACACATACTGCGTTCCTGAGAGCTGTAAGCTTCACAAAAGTGTTTCAAAGTTAGAACTGGCTTTCAAAGCATGACACACTGTTTTGCCTTGTTTTATTTGGGGAAGAGTTTAAGATTAGTTATGCAATTGAATTAAATATTAATTCTATTTTAATATTGTAAATAGTGGTAGCTGTTGGCATGTCACTGTAGGAAAGGCACAGGAGTGAATAATACAATTTATGAGTACTGAAATTAATTTAGTTGCTTCAATTTTATGCTGTATTCATATCATATTGTTTAAACCACAGTTACAAACTGCAGAGTTGGTCGAATGTTCCCGACAACCTCCGACAAATTTGAATCGGAAGTATTGTAAATTTGTGACACAGAACTCGAGGCATATGAACAAACTGATGGAAGAACAGTTACAAATGCAGTACAGCTATAAGTTATATTAAAATAAAATCCAATATTACCACTAATACTAATGATTCAGAGTATGTTATAGATTTCTTTATTGTTATTACACCTATGCTTTTCCTGCTACAGGAATGTGAGAAGAGTTCAGCTGTGAGAAAAGTACTAAGCAAGTTCAGATAATGACAAATCTCCAATTTAAGTGAACCAAAATGAATGTTGCTGTGCATTTATGAACCTATAGCTAAAAATGCTCTTGATCATCATTAAAACAGAGAACTGAGAACAGAAGTAAAACTAAGTTTAGCTGTGTGGTCCGTCTACTTTATTTGCATTGTGACTTTTCCTAACAGGAACTTGAGAGATCTTTGTTCTGTAATATTTCACAAACATCACAGTATTGTTTTCCTTCTGCACAAAATGTTGTGCCAGGTCCCAGAAAACACTTGTATAAGTATCTTTTATTGACTTTTAGTTTAAATAATGTGTTCTAAAATAAATATACTGAAATTAAGTACAAAATGATACTATACCTGAAAGGCAATAGTAACCATTTGGATAACATGATTGTGTTTTGTTTTGTTTTGTTTTTTTTATTGTGTGTACCAGCACCCATGTTCTCACAGAGGACGTTGTGTATCGGGAGGTAACTGCAGACCACCGTCTTCTCTCCAGACGCCTCCTGATGAAGACCAATCGGCTGCCTCGCTGGGCGGAGCGGATCTTCCCCCCCGGCATGTCTCGCTTTGTGTACATCGTCGAGGACTCCATCTTGGACCCCGTCAACAGGACCCTAACCACCTACACCTGGAACCTCAACCACACCACTCTCATGGTGAGGTGCCTGATTCTCTGTTTTGTTTTTCAGTTACTTTATTGTTAAAATGTAGTGCAACCAGTTCCCTATCAAGTGTCTTTGAAAAGTGTCTTACTGACCTTGTGTCCTAGACCAGCGTTAGACAAAGTTCTAACCTTCACTGACGAATATTTTGTCGGCTTGATCGAGTCACCTGTTTGAGAGTAAAACTGATTCTTTCAGCTGAAAAACTTTCACTCATTTTCACTCCCCTTGCTGCAGTAAGAGTGTATTTAGGCTGTGGTCTGTGGGTACAGGTGCAGCAGAGTGGTGTGGGGCACACACAGTAACAGGGTTGAAGTACCAATGAATTCAACTCAATTTCAGTTCAATTCAATTTTAGTTGTATAGTGCCAATTCACAACAACAATCATCTCGTCATCATCTCACAATTTACATAGTCAGGTCTAGATCTTACACTATTAGAAGGAAAACCTAACAAGTGCCCCTTGAGCAAATACTTGACAACAGTAAAAAACAGGAAAAACTACCTTTAACAGAAAAAACCTGGCAGACCCCAGCTGTTGGTGGGCAGCCTTCTGCCTTGACCGGTCGGGGTGAGTGGGTAGAGGAGAGAGAAAAGAAAGAACAGGACACAGCAAACAAAACAGAAAATAACCAATAAACCAACATGGTTTGTAATATTATTAGTTAAAATGTACTCTAACATGTATTTCAAGATAAAACTGATAAAGAAGCCTATAGGAAAATGATTACTGTATTAATTTGCTTTTAATATTTTTCACATTTAATTTCTCAAGCACTTGTATGTTGACAGCATACACAAAAACCCCTTTATACAGTTCAGTTCTGTTCCTGAACTGCATGACTTTTCCATGCCTTGTCCTTAACCTCAGCCCCCTGTCACTTCTCTGTGTCATAGTCAGTTGAAGAGCGCTGTGTTTTCCAAGACTCAGTGGAACAGCCAGCCACCACCCAGCTGAAACGGGAGGCATGGATATCCTCGAGTGTTTATGGCTTCTCCAGACCTATTCAGGTACATTTCACCTTTTTTTGAACTGCAAAATTGCACTTGAATCAAAATGTTAAACTCTTGTGAGTGTAATATGCTTTCAGTCAGTCAACTGTCATCATATTCTTTTTTTTGCCAAATATTTGTTTATCCCAAAGAGACATAAACCTCTATTGTCAGGTTTTTACTTTGATTTCTGGGTCATAGTATGAGCATGTTAGCTTGTGTGCAAATGCCAAAACCGGCTACATTGCCCCCATGTAAAGCCATTTCCTGTTTTGTTTTACTGCCAGGAGTTTGGATTGGCCCGCTTCAAGAGCAACCAGGTGAAGGCTATGAAAGGGCTGGAATATGCACTGTCAAGTCTACAGGGTACCTGCCACGCGGGGGACCCGGGTTCGATTCCCGGCCAATGCATGCCACAGTTTTAACATTGCCATGTAGCACCAGTATGGGCTCCCATGTGCAGACATCCCTCCATTGTCAGAGATACGTTACGGTATGCTTTGTTCAACATACAGTAATTCGCAATGAAATGTGCTTCAACATCAAATTGCAGCTCGGTTACTAGGGGGTCCAATTGAAGACCACCCTCTCACCTGTAAGTCCATAACCAAAGTAGTGAACAAATTGCAGTTTTCACCAGATGATGGCGCTAGATGAAATGTCAGATGATCAACAAAGTGAATACAATTCATCCTGAGGGGATCATGATTGTGTATACCACATTTTATGACCATGAATCCAAACAGCTGTCAGCAACTTTCCCTCAGAATCCAAAAGTGCAGACCTTGCGGTCCTGCAATAAAATTAAGTCATGCAATCACCAAAGTAAGCCATTTCTATTCTCTGGGCAGCATAAATGTTTTGACGAGTTTCCTCACAGTCCACTGAAGATTTGTTGACGTAGCATGGAGAGCACGAAATCTCAAACAAGTTGAGAAAATTTGATTTCAGAACCTTAAAAGTTGGGCCCATAGGGAGTTACAACTAGCCACATATCAGGTGTGTCACACGAGGCTAAAGTCAGTCTCACCACAGACGTATGACGGTGCGTTCATTCCAGCAGGAAGGGGGAACCAAAAAGAAAAGAGGGAAGCCAAACTGTTTATTTTTATCAGCTGTCTTTTTTTTAGAAAGGAGAAAACAAAATCAGGAAGTAGGACTTTCTTTGTTCAAACTAAAGGACTGTGATTCTTTTAACACAATTTATTATTATTATTGTTATCATAAATTATTTATTTATTGTTTCATATATTAATCAAACATTTCTTTGCATTAAGTACAAGATAAAACATCCTTGTCGCATCCTAATTAAGTATTGTCATGATTTCAGTAGAAGTAGAAAGTTCGATGCCCCAGACGTTCAAAGGTTCACATGCACTTTCTCAAGGCCTGACTCAGCAAAACACTTTTCCTTTTTTATTTGCACAAAATCTGCGTGAGTGTCAGCAGAGTAGCTTGTTACAGTAATTTTGCAGGAACTGGACAGTTTTTTTTACTTAAAGCTAGAAATATACTCTTCCATGTTTGCCTTAGAAACAGGTTAATTTAAGCACCAGAAGCAGCCTAAAGCCTCTTTCTGTTGCTGCAGAAGGATATGAAACCATGACAACTACAGCGACAAACAGCTTGGGTTTCTGAATTTAGAGTCAGACCAAAAGAGTGTAGGTAGGCAGTGTTGCATAAACAAAATACAGTTGAGAAGGCCATTGGAAAATACAAACACCTATAGGGCAAAATTATTTATAACCTGATTACAGAAACAGTAATATACTTCAGGATAATTAAAGGTGCAGTCTGTAAAATCTGCGTGTTTATCAGTAACAAATAGTGGCAGCTGTAGAAAACTACATCTGCAAACGTGTTCTTCATCACAACTGAGGCTACAACTGACTTTGTTGTTGCCAGTGGTTCATCTTGATTACTTTGTTGATTAGTCAGTTATTTTCTTGGTTCATTAAATGTCAGAACATTGTCAAGGTGGCATATGGAAATACGTAGGTTGTTTTGTTCAGCCAGTAGTCCAAAATATTATATTTAGTTAAATATGATTGAACACTAATAAAATCTGAAAGGATTCCAGGTTGGGGAGATGGAAGATGTGAAGTTTTTTAAGTTAAATATTCATATTAAAATTTGAAAAGTCAGTTTTAATCATCGCAGAGGTTTTCTGGGAGAGCCATTACATGAAAAAGGTTAGGCCTTGTTTTGGCATTGGGTCCTGACCATCACGGTTTGTGTTGTCCAACAAACTGTGTTGTGCTGATGCAGCGTACTGTTGTCTGAAAGGACATTCTCCCATTGCTGTGATCTTGTCCCACTGCTCCTCTGTTGATGGCAGGAATTGGCATCAGGCTGGGCATTTTGGTAAGTGTTTCAGCAGTGGGGCATCCACATGATTGTCACACGGTGCCATATATGAGCCTCACACAATAAAGTGTGTAGTGAATGTTCTTCCTTGTGTGTTGTGTATTGAGACACATACTGTTTTTATATTGAAAAAGTCAGAGGACAGAAAATCTGACTACTAAAAAGAAAAAAGGCTCAGGCGTTAATTAGTCTTGTGTTGGTATAGAAGTAGACAGTGCGTAGTTTAGATGTCCCTAATGTCATTTTTGTTTGAGATACAAACCAAACCCTACTCAAGATCTTTTTGTATGGGGTACATTAGTTATTAGTATTTTCCTTTTTCCCTGAATGCAACAATTAATGTTTTCTTGCCATAAAAGATGTCTAATACTTCGATAACAAACAGGTCATTTGGTATTACTACTGTTTACATTACATTAAATTACAATGACCAATAATTTAATAATTTTTTTACATCCAGCTACTAGCATGGTACCTAGACAGTGAAGTAAAAACCCAAGACACACTTTGGTGGTGTAATATCAGAAAACCAAACTAAAATGTGACTTTGAACATAGTATCATTTACTGCATCTTGCCATTGTATGGCAGTATAGTCACTGATAAGTGTTGGAGAATGGAGGGGACCTCAGGTGTTTTTGTTTTAAAAGCTTTGGGCGACGTCGGCCGTTATGTTTCTGGTGGTTTGGTTGTTTTATACATTTTGTGGCATCACATCAAAACCTTTCCTTTCTGATTCTGTGTCTCTACTGTCAGCACATTTCAGCACATTTGGACCTTGAATTAGAGTTTTTAATTTTCTTCCTTTTTAATAGTTTGACATAATACTCATCTCACAGATCCACAGACAGCATTTTCAGCGTTTATCTGACATGCCTTGCTCTGATCTCTTGCTGTGAATAAATTGTGAGCTCATTAGCATTGCTGCTGTCATCAACTGCTTTAAAGGCTCTTGAGTAAAGGCTGATGCAAATGTATGAAATAGGTTCACTGAAGTTGTGGAGAAGCCTAGTACTCATGATTATCTTAGCTAATATACTGCAGTTGACTGAGTGGTGATGCATCGGTTTATTCATCACTCTGACTCCTAGGTGAGTCAGACTGAGAGGGGATTGTACTTGATCCAGTATATGACCTGACAGGTATCACCTAGACAAGCACAGCATTGTCTCTATCAGGAGGTGACAATAGATACTTAAGGGCTGAAAACTACACTGTTGCAGCTTCAGCCCACATTCATCCAGTGTAGTTTATTATTTGCTTTTTTTGCAAGATGGTGTATGAAGAGAGAAGTACCAGAACAAAACCTGTACATAAAATATATTGTTAAATATCAGCATTGTCTCATACTGTGACAAATTTGGAAAAAAAAGGGTTTTACAAATAAGAACTGTGAACCTCAGTATGAACATTTAGTCATGATAAAATTTACAGAGACAGTAATTCAACCGCTGACTGACCGGCTAACCAGACGGTAAAGAAGAAAGGTGTTCTCATGGTCAAGTTTATGATTTTAGCAGCTCACTGAGAGAGAAGCAAAACAACAACAGAAAGTTAGGCTTAGGCAGAGAATGGAACAGGGAGGAGTTTGACCAATCACAAATAAAAGGTAATCACGGAGAAGTGGCTACTGTAATAACAAGTGTAGACCAGAGGCCTGTTTAAATTTGACATTTTTTGTCAGGGCTTACAGTTTCACCATTTTTAATTTCAGTGTTTGAGTCGTAGCTCTCCCTAAATTGAATGTTATGGACCTTTGTGATGAACTTAAAATATATTGTACTTACTATTTGTACTGCCTGGGAAAAGGCCTGTTCTCAACCTTAATGCTTTTAGACTGTTGCACTGAACTGCAGAGAGAAATCCAAACAAAACCTTGGTCCCTAGTTTCACCAGACCCTTTGTAAAACAAACTATATTACTAACATTTATGGAGCTGGATGTGCTTCAACTGTCTGTATATTTTTGATCCACTGCCATGATGATATATTCAAGTTATAATGAGACCAGTTGACATTATCACAATTGATATCAACCTATTTAAAGCAAATTGTACTTTTTAAACGCTGTAATGCAGTGAATTACTTGCATCACAGTCACACTTGTAGTGTCTGAAATCAGAGTCACAGTAAAATACCCTGGCACTGTCACTTTCACAACTGTTGGTGATGTGCAGTAGTAGTTACCGGCTGAACACAAACTATGGGAACTCTTGGATTTAAGTGATGTTTGGAAAGTACTTGCAGGTAGATTTGAACCTTTCTGTAAGGTGCTTTCACAGAACTGGTAATTCCCAGTTTGCAGTTGCCTTTCACTTTGAGCAAGAGTTGGTGAGGCAATAAAGAAGAAATCAACTTTCTGAGGAAAAGGGAACATGAAAATCAGTTTGACAGCCACGAGTGAAATCTACTTCAGGTGTGTTTTGACCTGTGCCTTGTACATTGTTTGAAAGCTCTATCTCTCTCCTTATTAAAGTTACTTTAATAAATTAAGGAACAATAAATGAGCTGATCTGACATCGTCTTCTCATGTCTGATTAGTGTCTATGAATCATATTTCCCTTTACAGTGTGACTGAGGAAGACGAGGCTAGAAAAACGTATTCAGTCGCCCTCCTTATGTTTTTAGCTTTCATTCACGTCATCTGTGTCAGTGAATATACAGTGAAACCCAAAAACAAGTTTGAGCTGGTTTGTGTGCTGTCAGCACACCATAAATAGGCAGCTGAATTCTCTGTTTAAGTAAATGATGCAAATGGTGGGGACATCTAACGAGAGATTGGCCAGAGTGGGGCCAAGTGTCCCTCGCGCTCAGAGTGGTCATTAAATAAGCCTTCGACAGCGCGACAGGTTTTAAAAGCTGTCGCTGATGCAGCCTGGGAGAGAACAGAAAACATCTTCATACTTTTCAACTCAGCACTGTTTTCTAGCAGTGACGTGCTTCTATTCACGCACCAGTTGCCAAATATCGTTGTCTCATAGTGTCTGAATGAAGCGTAAAGGAATGCTTCCGTAAAAGCCACCTATGTCTGAATAAATGAAGCCAGCATTGTCCTGTATATGAAAATGTCTGAAAAGCATTTCTTAAAAAAATCGTTCTTCTCATTCCCTGACTATCTGTGTCTGTCTCTGGACACACTGTGGTCTCACAGGAGAGACGCCCCAGCGGCTGCTCAGGGACACAGTGAAGGACGCATCAGAGAAGGCCAGAGAGGCAGCCAAGAGCCTGGCTTCAGCCGCTACCGTCCCGCAGAAATCCCAGCAATACGTCTGACTGGACCATGTGTGGAGTACTGTACAGGTGACATGAACGCAACACAGCAGCGGTTAATCATCTCAACTTGACTGAAGTTTTGTTAGGATCCGATTACTCTTTGTTTTCTGTCTGTTTATTTCTCAACTGTCTGTTTTCTGTTTTGCTCTCACCCTTCATCACATCTCAGGTCTTGAGCCTTGACACCTGTGTGAACGTTCAGCAGCACCTTTTAATGTTGTTACTACAGGTGTAAATACAAAATTTGGCCAGTGAGTCTAGGCATATTTAATATTTTTAATCTACTGTTGTAGACTATTGTGTAATGCTAATCAGTCTGTGTGCTTTTCTTTTCTTTGTGTTTCCTGCACAGTGACCATATGTTCTCATACAGTGTAACCTTTTACCAGTTTATCATATTTATTAATTATCATTTATCATGTTCAGTTCAAGTACAGTGGCAAGAATAAATAGGCAAACCCTTTGAAAATGTGGTCAGATCTTCATCTAAGTTACAGTTACAAATAAACAATCGATTTTAACACCCAAACTATTGTACTGTGAATACATTCACAGTGTCGACAAATAGTTTGAAACACTTCTGGGGTCTTAACAGGAAAAACATATATCAAAAACGTAGAAAAGGTCAATCTTGTCCATGAGTGGAATGTCAAAACCACTAATTAATGATTCCACCTACCTGTATCAGGCCCCTCACTCAACACAGAATCATTGTGTGGAATCATTATTTAGTGGTTTGAGTTCACTGTGTGTCCAGACATCCTGAAGAAGGCCAGTGTGATGATACACGCTGATGTATTTTATAATGTGTTGGCCCATATTTAAGACATTTTGTTATCAATCATTCACTTGAGTGCATAAATTGGATTGTTTTCTCTGCCATATCTCACTCATTTCCCATATATTTGACATATTCACAGTGTGCGCTGGAAAAAGTATGTGAACCCTTAGGCTAATGACATCAAGCACTAGTCGGCCTCAGGAGTTAAAATTTGAGAGCAGCCAGTTGAAAAAAGATTGGAGTCAGCTCGTAAAGTTTAGATGTTCCTCAGTCCAGAGTTGGACAAAATGTCTTGTGAGTGGAAATGATTTAGTGCTGTGACTTCTGTTTGTAGAAACTAAGAAGGCTCCAAAGGCATAATGCAGAATGTTCAGTGAGGTTTAAGTGTCACAGCTCCAGGCTTAAAGGAAACACTGAAGCTAGTTAACATCTCTGCTTGGGAATACCATAGCACAAATCATTGACCATGCCAGAACACCATTCTCCATGTCATTGCCCTTCAAAGAAAAATGTCACTGTAGCAGAAAGTTTCCAAAGAGCACGTTAACACTTCCCAACACTACTGGGAAAATGTTTTGTGAACTGGTGAAACTAAGGTTGAGTTGCTTGGAAAAGAATACACAAGGGTATGAAAAGGGCACTGTATACAACATCAAAACGTCATCCCAACAGTGAAGCACAGGGGGAGGGAGCATCATGATTTGAGGCTGGACAGCTTGTTGTCATCCAAGGCAAGTTTATCAAGGTGTCTTAAGGATAGTGTCAGGGTGTGTCAGCTGAAGCTCAATAAAAGATGGATGATGCAGCAGGACGGTGACCCTAAATATTAAAGTAAAAACTGTGTGCACACTAAGAAGTGAGCATGCATTTATACACATTCTGGGCCAGATGCACAAACAATGTGTACACACAAAAACCATGCATACGTCTGAGTGTATTTTTAAACACATGCGTTTATGTTGGCCCGATGAATTTTGATCTTGTTTCTTTTGCCTTAATGGCACTTTCCAGTTTTTCATTTTAGACTTTACTGTAAATGATTCTGTTAACTGTTGATATTATTGTCATTAATTTATTTTTGTTTAATGATGATTGTAGCTTAACAATAGGTCTTTACAAGTGTATGATTGAATTACAACGCTCTCTACATAGCTGCAGCTGTGCATAATGGTCATACGTAGGGACGACTGTTCTGAAGTTATTGGTGGGTTTTGACAATGCCGGTTGTGTGGCTAAAATTGCAATGCGTTCATCTGCTGTAACTAGTGCGGGAGGTCCTGTTGTTGTTGCCCTTATGCGCTTTGTGCACACATATGCGCTTTTCTGACTGACTGAGGTTTATAAGACAGAACCGGGCGTACGGTGCGTCTTTATGAATCTGACGAAAACGATGCGTACGCTCACTTCTGTCTCAGTGCGTACACACAGTTTTAGTCATGAGTCTACACAGAGTTTTATGCATGTGGCTCCAGGCTTCCACAGAATATGGCCCAATATGGTTCCTCCTGAACGTTGTGCAGGTCTGATCTGCAGCTGCTGAAGCGCTGGCTTGAGGTTATTGCTTCCAGACGGGTTCAACCAGTTACTAAATCCAAGGGTTCACTTACTTTTACCAGTCGCACCATGAATGTGTAACTGGTGTGCTCAGTAAAGACAAAAGATAAAAAGATTTTGTGCGTTTTTAGTTTAACCACATTGTGTTTGTCTGTAGTTGTGACTGAGATAAAGGGAGAAGAGTTCACATACCTTTTCTTGGTGTTGTACATTGTTAGGCTTAGGGTTTTGTTGCAATCTAAAGTTCACATTAGACAAAATTCTAATACTATGATTGTGTGGTTTTAATTACACATGAACAAAGGACAGATTATAACTGAACATGCACGTAGGGGTTATTTCAGGACTGAAACATATTGTATAATAGTTCCTTCCCTTTTCAGTTATTCATTAATTTTTCACTTTCTGGTTTTGAGGCTGTAATAAACATCTCACTTTCAAACATATTAATACACATTATGTCATTACTAGAGTCAACACACAATGTATTGTGTAGTATTGCACGCGTAAATAGAAAGTTTTGTGAAAATGCTACTAGATAAGTCACTGTCAGTACGACCTGCAGCGCAGCAGCTAAGGTCCAAAGTTACCAAAGTGACTTAGATCAAAAAACAGTGACAGATTTACTGTGTAATGTGATTAACCTTTAACTGTATGAATGTGAGAGTAGATCATTTCAGTCTGCCTGTTATATGAAACTTAACCTCTGAAGCACTTTTCAATGATTGCATTCCCTGTGAGGTGCAGTTGCTGGATTTTTCTGCTAAAAGACCTGAATTTTAGTTCGAAAACAATTCATGTGATGTTATTTTGACTTGTTTAACATTAAGCCTTTGTAATAGTGAGTTCATGTATATTTGTTTTTCCCAGGTATTAAGATAAAAAACAGAATCAGTTAGATTTTCAGTTGAAGATGTTTTGCGCCATATCCAAAAACAGTTTCAACCAAATTCTGCATTTCATATCCAGTGTTTGGAGTCTGTTTGTTTTATCTTTGTCAAATTGAGCTTTAATAAAACCTCATAAATTATTAATTTAATTAGCTTCTTTGTCGATTTCTTTAACTAACCTTTCTCTGCTACAGCAGTGACAAAAACGTGAACTCTAACCTATAAAAACATGTTATCATTCCAGACTACAGAGCAGTTTCACAGCTGCACACACCAAACAGGAAGCGCTGTAACAT